TATAATATCACACACCACTAAAAAGTTAAAGTTGTGCCAACATTTTCTACAGAAGCAAAGCATTAATGACATAAAATATGAACTTTTTTTGTTCACACTGGAATAATTGAGACAAAAGTAATTAGGTTAAACATTCATATAACTTTGAATATACATGCTATGCACACACAAGGACACTAAGAATAGTTCTTTAAGAAGTAAGACATTACAGAATTTTATATTTGTTCAAAATGCTTACTTGCCCCTTGAATTTGAGTCCAAATTTTTAGGACTTAGGTATTGTACTGTTTTTAGGGATTCCAAAGTGGTAATCTTGATAGATTTCCTCAAAGGAATAAGAATAATCATGGGGTCCTATTATGAAGCTGTTTTAAGAAACTTAAAACTGCACTGGAAAGAAAAAGGCCAAGAAAGTTGCCCCAAGAAATTTTTTCCCGTCATAACAGTGCATCTGCGCGTTCTTCAAGGGTATCAAGGGTTGTCCTATGAGAATTTTGTTGGGAAATGTCACTCCATCCACCCAACAGCCCTGATATTGCCCCATCCAATTTCTTTTTGTTCTAAAAACTCAATGAATATTTAAAAGGAACATGATTTGAATCCTTAAGGATGCCAAAATTTCTGGTTAAATTTGATATAAATTCAAGAGCACAGAAGAAGAGCTAAAGAGCTGGAAACACCACCTTCAGAAGTCTATAGATCTAGTTGGAGGGTATGTTGGAAACCAATAGCTTCATGTTTGATAGCTTTGTTTTTAAAAAAAGGTTTCTGTGATTTCATAGCAATATTATTTGACCTACCTTCATAAAATAAGTACTAAATAAAGTTTTGTTGAATCCAATGGTGTATGGCATTCCAGGTAGTGAGAACTAGATGAAGAAAAGTAGTAAAAGGTTTGGAGAAAAAAAATGAATCATTTAATTTGGATGAGGGAAAGTATAGACAGTAAGATGGACAGGTATCTTTTGTAAGATTATGAAAAGACTTGGAAGTGGACTAGAGGGAAATGATGAGGCTTTCTTACTCTGATAGGCCCACCACTCACCTGTCAGTCTGTTATACTTTGGTGACTTTCATGTGGCTGTGATACAGGAAGCTATGTAACTGGAATTTTAAATAACCAACAAGGTCATCCATGTTGGACAGCTTTCAGCGGAACTTCCAAACTAAGGTTAGGAAGGAGAGACAGAATACTACTTCTCAATGTCTAGCCACTGAAAACCCTATGAATAGCAGCAGAACATTGTCAGATACAGTGCTGGAAGATGAACCCCTCAGGTTGGAAGGCACTCAAAATACGACTGGGGAAGAGCTGCCTCCTCAAAGCAGAGTTGACCATAATGAAGTGAATTGACCAAAGCTTTCAGGACCTTTATTTGCTGATAGAGCACAACTCATAAGGAAGAGAAACAGCTATAAACATCCACTAATAATCAGAACACGGAATGTATGAAGTATGGAACTAACAAAATTGTGTTAAAAATGAAATGGAATGCATAAAGATCCACATCCTAGGCACTGGTGAGCTTAAATAGACTAGATATTACCATTTTGATTCAGACAATCATATGGTTTACTATGCCAGGAACAACAAATTTAAGAGGAATGACGTTGTATTCATCATGAAAAAGAATATTTTAAGATCTATCTTGAAGCACAATGCTGTCTGTGATAGGATAATATCCATACACCTGCATGGAAGACCAGTTAATATTATTCAAATTTATGCACTAACTACTAAAGCCAATGATGATGAAATTGAAGAATTCTACCAACTTCTTCTGTTTGAAACTGATCAAACATGCAATCAAAATTACTGGTGCTAAAGTTGAAAACAAAGAGAAAGGATTAGTTGGAAAAGATGGCCTTAGTGATAGAAATGATACTGGAGAGCACATGATGGAATTTTGCAAGACCAACAACCCATTTTTTGCAAATACCTTTTTAGAATAACATAAAAGGCAATTGTATGCACATGGCCCTCATCAAATGGACTACACAAAAATCAAATCGACTACATCTGTGGGAAGAGTCCATGGAAAAGTTCAATATCATCAGCCAAAAGAAGACCAGGGTTAGTCTATGGAACAGTTCTCATTAGTTGCTCAAATCCATGTTCAGGCTGAAGCTGAAGAATATTAAAACTACTCCATGAGAGCCAACTATGAAAATATTCCACCTAAATTTAGAAATCATCTCAATAACAGATTTGATGCATTAGAGACTAATGACCAAAGACCCCAGAGTTATGAAATAACATCATGAACATCATACAAGAAGAAAGCAAAGGTCATTAAAAATATGGGGAAAAAAGAAAAGACAAAAATGCATGTCAGAAGAGACTCTGAAACTTGCTCTTGAGCACAGAGAAGCTAAAGCAACTGGAAGAAATGAGGAAGTAAAAGAGCTGAACAGAAAATTTCAAAGGGCAGCTTGAGAAGATAAAGTCAAGTGTTACAATGAAATGTGCTAAGACCTACAATTAGAAAACCAAAAGGGAAGAATACCCTTAGTATTTCTCAAGGTGAAAGAACTGAAGAAAAAAATATATGAAGCCTCGAGTTGCATTATTGAAGAATTCTATGAAGCCCTGGTGTGGCGCTGTGGGTTAATGTGCTGGACTGCAAAATCGGTTTGAACTGAAAGATCAGCAGTTCAAGCTCACCAGATGTGCCTCAGAAAACCTACACAAGGTGTTCATGAGTCAGAACTGACTCCATGACACTTAACAGCAACAACAATGGACAAAATGTTGAATGGTGTGTTAAAAGAAGATGGAAGGAATGCAGGGTCACTGTACAATGTTCAGTCATTTCAAGAGGTAGCATATAATCAAGAACCAATGGTACTGAAAGAAGAAGCCCATGCTGCACTAAAGGCATTGGTGAAAAACAGGGCTTCAGGAACAGACCGAATACAAATTGAAATCTTTCACCAAACTAATGCAACACTGGAAGTGCTCACTCATCTATGCCAAGAAATTTGGAAGACATTTACCTGACGGCTGGAAGAGATTCATATTTGTGCCATTCCAAAGAGAGACGACTCAATAATGCAGAAATCATTGGACAGCGTCACTACTGGCACATGCAAGTGAGATTTTTCTGAAAATAATTAAAAAGCAGTTGCAACAATTCATTGACAAGGAACTGCCAGAAACTTAAGCCAGATTCAGAAAAGGATTTGTAACTATGAATACCATTGCTGACATCAGGTGGATCTTAGCTAAAAGCAGAGAATACCAGAAAGCTGTTTACTTGTGCTTTATTGACTATGCTTTCAACTGTGTGAATCATGACAAACTATGGATACCATTGTGAAGAGTGGGAATTCCAAAACACTTAACTATGCTCATGAAGAACCAATATATAAACCAAGAGGCAGTTGTTAGAACAGAACAAGGGGACACTGAGTGGTTTAAAATATGCCAGCATTGTATCCTTTCACCGTACTTATTCAGCCTGTATGCTGAGCAAATCTGAGAAGATGTATTATTTGAAGAAGAACATAGCATCAGGATTAGAGGAAGAGTCATTAACAACCTTTGATATATAGATGATACAGTCTTGCTTGCTGGAAGCAAAGAGGACTTTAAAGAGGATTTTAAATACTGATGAAGATCAATGACTCTGGATTTCACCTCAATGTAAAGAAAACAAATTCCTTACAACTGGACCAATAAATAACATCATGATGAATGGAGAAAAGATTGAAATGATCTAAGACTTTATTTTGCTTGGGTCTACAATCAACATTCATGGAAGCAGCAGTCAAGATATCAAAGGATGTCTTGCATTGGGTAAATCTGCCGCAAAAGACTTCTTTAAAGTGTTTAACAGCAAACATGCCAGTTTGAGGACTAAGGTGTACCTGACCTAAGCGATGGTCTGTTTTCAGTCTCCTTATATGCGTGTCAAAGTTGGATAATGAATAAGAAAGATCATAGCAGAATTGATGCATTTAAATTATGATGTTGGAAAAGAATATTAAAAGAACTATGAACTGCCAAAAGAATAAACAGGTCTGTATTGAAAGTACAGCCAGAATAGTCCTTAGAAGTCAGGATGTGGAGACTTCATCTGTCATACTTGGAACATCTTATCAGGAGGGGCTAGTCCCTGGAGAAGGACATCATGTAGTAGAAGGACATCATAAAGTAGAGGGTCAGCAAAAAAGAGGAAGATCCCCAAAGAGATGAGTTGATATAGTGGCAGCAGCAATGGGTTCAAATGTAACAGTCGTGAGGATGGCGCAGTACTGGGAGGTGTTTTGTTCCGTTGGTTGTGTATAGTATCACTGTGAGTCGGAACTAATTTGGTAGCATCTAACAACAAACACTTTACTAGGCAGTGAGCAACCAATGAAACTATTTGAGTAGGAGAAAAATAGGATGAGAAACAAATTTTGTTTTACCTACTGGAGTCCCTTTCATCCATGTGTTCAGTCTTCCATTCCTACTCAGGTGGGCCTCCCTCCCATCCATCCATCTCTGCATCTACTGGCTCACCCCTAGACTTCCCCAGCAGCTTGCCCTTCCCCCCTCACCTGCTGCCAGCCTGGACCAGGGACGTTTGCATAGACTGCTCCCTCTCTCCACCAGAAGACTTGGGGGCCCCAGCTCCCTGTCTTTCCTCTTCCCTGCCTGGAACTGGGAAGCAGGCCAGGATTAGGTGAGGCTGACTGGCAAGCAACGGGTGGTGCCAGGGAGAGCCTGGATAGTGCCAGGTAGTGCTTTTGGTCCCAGGCTGAGCATATAACCCCGATAACCTTCTGCCTGAGCACACACCTGCTGCCCCCATCCCACTGTACCCAGGCTTTGGTATCGGGGAGGGGGCACAGGGCCAAACAGACCCGTGGGACTTTGGCTCCATCTCTACAAAAGGGCACTCTGTGAGTCAGCCTGCTCCCCTCCAGGCTCGCTCCTCCCCCACCCGGCTCCAGTTTCCTATGCACGTAGAGCCCGTGCACATCGTGTCCCGGGACACCCCACAGCCAGCCGCATGGCTCCCCAATGCCCCAGCCCCTGGCTCCCTGTGCTGACCTTGGCCCCTGCAAAGGGCCCCACTCTGCAACTGCTGCTTTTACTGTTACTCCTGGTGCCGGCCCATCCCCAGGGCCTGCCCGGGATTCAAGGGGCTAACCCCTTGGGAGGAGATTCATCTGGAGAAGATGATCCACTGATTCATCTTGAGTACACAGGCGGTGAGGAGGATCCCAGTGAAGAGGACCCACCTGGAGAGGAAGCACCACCTGAATCTGAGACTAACCCAGGGGAAGAGGACCTACCTACTGAGGCTCCCAGAAACACTCAAGGTCAAGAAAATAGTGCCCACAGGGAAAGAAAAGGTAAGTGACCCTCAATCCTCCAAATCCAGGCTCCAGTGAGGACCATGACCCCCCCTCACACATACCCCAGCTCAGACAGGAATCATTCAGCGGGAAGGACAGATAGCCAGTTGCTACTGAGTCTCTGACTCACGGCAACACCATGTGCATTAGAGCAAAAAACTGTGCTCCATAGGATTTCCAGTGGGTGATTTTGTGGAAGTGGCTCACCAGGCTTTTCTTCCCAGCTGCCTCTGGGTGGACTTGAACCTCCATCTTTTTGGTTATCTGTTTGTACCACCCAGGGATTATCAGGGGAAGAGGGGATTTTGTAATCCCTTCCTTAACACTACTTTCAGAAGCAGTGGGAGGCAAGACAAAAGGGGGGGGGCACAGATGGAGAAGGGGGAGATAGATGAGATGAAAGAGAATGGGAAGGTTGGAGAAGAGTAAGAGATAAGAATCTGCAAAGAGATTTAAAAAAAAAAATAGGTGGAAAGAGGAAGACAAGAAGTAAAACTATGTAGGGAAGAGAAGAGGAAAAGATTGAGGATGGAGGCAGAGGTAACGCAGGAAGGATTGTAGAAACCATCTCTGCATTTTACAGAACCTAGAAGGAAACAGTCAGGAGGAAGCTAGTCTCCACCCTCCCAAGTAGAGACTTTGGGAAAGGAGTTAGAGACCAGGGTAGAAATTTGAGTGTGTGGGGGGGGGAAGTTTGGATGAATAAGGGAGAAAGGAATGAAGATCTCATTTGCCTCAGGGGCTGAAGCCCCTCATTCAGTTTGCAGACTGTAAGACAGTAGTTCCCAGGGCCAGTACAGTTTTCATTTGACCCATCCAGTTGTATTTTATTTGACTGCAGTCTATTGTGATACACTGGGCCCGTTTCACGCATTTCTGCTACCTGCTAGGCTCCCATCAGGCGTCTGAATTTGTGAACTCCGGTTCGTGAGTGGAGCCCATTTCGTTATGGCCTCTGGGGAGGGAGTGGGCTCCAAGACCCACCTCTTGATCCTTCTCATTTATGCAGGGGATGACCACAGTCATTGGAGCTATGGAGGTGAGACACCCAGCCTCTGCCCAGACCCAATCTGGGCACCCAGGTCGGCCATCCCTGGGTGCCGCAACCACCTCACCCTCTTCTGCCTGTCCCCACCCGTCCTCACGCCTGATTTTTATCTGCCGCACCGACACTCCCTGATCCCACCCTTTCACTTTTTCCGCTCCCTAAAAGTACCCCTGACCTTGTCCCCAGATTCCTGACCATACTCTCTCACCGTAGGCGACCCACCCTGGCCCCAGGTGTCCCCAGCCTGTGCAGGTCGCTTCCAATCCCCGGTAGATATACGCCCGGAGCTCGCAGCATTTAGCCCTGCCCTGCAACCCTTGGAACTCCTGGGCTTTGAGCTCCCGCCACTCCCAGAACTGCGCTTGCAAAACAATGGCCACAGCGGTGAGGGGGGCTCCCGCTGCGTCAGAGAAGGGGCAGGGCTATCTGGGGGCGAGGGGCGATGGGCGGGGCTCGGGGCTGGCCCTGGGGAAGGGTGGGGTGGGGGTGGGGTCCTGCTCACTGCCCCTTCCCCACCACAGTGCAACTGACACTGCCTCCGGGGTTGGAGATGGCTCTGGGACCCGGCCGTGAATACCGGGCCCTGCAGTTGCATCTGCACTGGGGGGCCGCAGGTCGCCCGGGCTCAGAACACACGGTCGGTGGCCACCGTTTCCCCGCAGAGGTGAGCTCCGGGCAGTCCTATGAGTGGCGAAGGGGTGAGGCTCCTTCGAAATCTGGCCCATCTCTACCCTCCTGTCATCTCCAGATCCACGTGGTTCACCTCAGCACCTCATTTACTGGAGTTGAAGAGGCCTTGGGGCACCCGGCAGGCCTGGCCGTGTTGGCCGCCTTTCTGCAGGTACTGGCCCATTCCCATCTGTCCCACATGTGCCCCTAGAGAGTCCATACCAGCACACTCACCCTTACCTCTGGCTACCATCTCATTTACTCACTCATTTGTTCATCAGTCATCACGCATGAGTCACGTAAACCCTCTGCTGTCTAGTTGATTCTGAATTATAGACGACACCCTGTAGGACAGGACAGAACTACCCCAGAAGGTTTCCTATAGACGACACCCTGTAGGACAGGACAGAACTACCCCAGAAGGTTTTCTATAATGTAAATCTCTCCGGAAGCAGACCCTTCAGTTAGCAGCTGGGTGCTTTAACCACTGCACCACTAAAGTTCCCAGTAACTCCAGTTGTTAAGTGATGTGGAATAATTGGTTGCCACATAAGGTCGCTATGAGTCGGTACCCACTTGATGTCACCTAACAACAATAATAGTGACCCTGTATAGGGTTTTCAATGGAGTCCTAGTGTGGCGCCCTAGATAAGCACTTGACTTCAAGATCGGTTTGAACTGCCAACCAAGGTCGGCAGTTCACTCTCACCAGCCACTCCTCAGAAACCCTAGTCGGAATCCTCTTGACTCAACAACAACAAAGAGTTTCCAAGGAGCATCTAGTAGGTTTGAACCACCCACCTGTGGAGAGCAGTCCAGTGCTTATCTGGCAGTGCCACACCAAAACCCTATGACTCAGGTAGAGCCTCAAAAAGGAGTCCGAAGCCAAAAGGGGAAGGCCTACATGATAGATGGATTTCCTGGAAGTGCACAGAGAGCAATAGCTGCCAACTGCAATGTTGGAGGCTTGAGTACACTCAGTGGGGGCGTCTGAAAGCCTGATGATCCGCTTCCAAATACTCAGCCATTAACACCTCTATGGAATATAGTTCTACTCTGATTTACACGGGGTTCCCAGGAGTCAGAATCAACTCTATGTCAACTTTAAAAAAAAAACACACCACAAGCTGAAAACCAAACTCATTGCTGTAGATTCAGAGTCCTAACAGCTGTACAGAACGGGTAGAACTGCCCGGTAGCGGATTAGCCCAGCATTCTCCCACAAAACAGCCGATGGATTTCAATCATTGGCCTTTGAGTTAGCAGCCCAAGTGCTTTACCAATGTGCTGTCAAGGACTACACTTTGAAAACAATAGACCTATACCACGACACAGATAAAACAAGAGATGGTCAGGGAAGGCTTCACAGAGGAGGCAATACTGAAACCATCTGTGGTGGTGATGGTGTGCTGTGGAGTCCATTCTGACAGCAACCCTGCATGGGTTTCTGAGACTGTAAATCTTTACAGGAGCAGAAAGCCTCACCTTTCTTCCGTGGAACAGCTGGTGTTTTCAAACAGCTGAACTTGAGGTTAGCAGCCCAACTCATAATCAGTACGCTACCAGAGCTCCTTGAAACTATGTGTATCAGGAAGAAAGGAGGCACTTTTCACGCAGATGGGAAATTATGTGCGTAGACTCTGAATTCAGATGCTGTCGACTTGACATTAGTCAGAATTATTTTTCTAATACCCCTATGGTGGTTTCTAATACCCCTATGGTGGTGTTGTGGACTTAGTTCAGACTCACAGTGACCCTGTATAAGGTTTCTGAGACTGTAAATCTTCACAGGAGCAGAAAGTTTCAGTTTTCTCCCTCGGAACCACTGGTAGTTTTGAACTGCTGACCCTGAGATTAACAGCCTGACTCGGAACCACTATAGTACCAGAGCTCCCCTATAGCAGATCATTTCCCCTTTGTGAAGTACAATATAGTCTAGATAAATATTTAGTGACCTTTGGTGTTATGGGTTAAGTGTTGGGCTGCTAACTACAAGGTGGGTGGTTCACACTCACTTGCCACTCTTTGGGAGAAAGAAAAGCTGTTTACTCTCATAAAGATTTTTTAAAAAATGTTTTATTGTGAATTATGTGATAGTTTACATGGGTGAACATTGGTTTTACATTCATCCTATCGTATATTGTTTCATTGCCATGGTTACAATCTCTCATAAAGATTTGCAGTCTCGGAAACCCTATACAGGGTCGCTATGAGTTGGAATCGACTGGATGGAAATGTGATTTGGTTTGGCTTGGTATGGGCATCTAATGATCAAAGCTACATACGGTGGAGTGTAGGAATGGAGAGAGAGCAGCTAAGCTTGTCACTGCTGACTCCTTAACCAGCCTCCCAGCAGAAAATTCAGAGAAATGCCTCAGAAATAGCATGTCAGATGACCTTGCTCCAAAAGTCAAACACATGATTATTAAGGTACATGCAGAGGTAACATGAACACAAAAGTGGATTGTGGGGTTTTTTTGTGGAGTGTGTATGGTGGTACCTGTGAGTGAGACTGGAAATGTTTTTAGGTCCCAGGTCATTGAGGGTCTGTAGCCTAGTCAAGATGCTCTACTTCCATCCTGTTCTCCAATCTGCCATTCAAAACCAGTCCACCAATCTTACTGTTAGTTCACAAAGTAAGAGTAAATAGACTTAAAGTAATAATGCATAAGACTTATGGTTCCCCCGGCATTCTTTGAGCTAAGGAATGGGGGAGGACCGTGGGAAGCCACCTCACCTTTAGGCACCCAGTCATACCTTGCACTGTCATGTCCCAGGAGGGCCCAGAAGAAAACAGTGCCTATGAGCTGTTGCTGTCACATTTGGAAGAAATCGCTAAGGAAGGTCAGTTTGCCAGTCTGCTTTTCTTTTTTATAGTTACAAATATTTAACATTTATTTCCAGATTATTCAGCACAGTGTTCTCTTGTAATCACTCTGGGTTTGAGTCTCAGCATGTTATGGCAGCTCAAAGTGAGAGTACAAACCTGTGATGCTATGCTCTAAGGAACTGTCTTCACTGTGATGCCTCTTCCAATTGCCCCAAGGTCCTTTCTTTCCTTCTGAATTATGTCTTATGCTGAATTAGTGAAAGGGACCCCTCTTAGTGAAAAAGAGATCCCAGTGAAATTGTACCCTTTTACCAAAGCTTCCAGGGGACATGATCTAGGTGGGCCTCAGCACAGGTCCTTTCCACAGGTTCAGAGACTTGGATCTCAGGACTAGATGTGTCTGCACTGCTGCCCTCCGATCTCAGCCGCTACTTCCGATATGAGGGGTCTCTGACTACACCCTCCTGTGCCCAGGGGGTCATCTGGACTGTGTTCAACCAGACAGTGCAGCTGAGTGCCAAGCAGGTGGCACTGGGGATGGGGAGGTGACATGGGGAGTGTGGGGGGAGGGAGATATAGAACAAGTGGAGATGAAAGGACCATGTGGGGAATAGGGACAGGGGAGCCTGGAGGGTGGCAGCCTGGGGCTGCTGGCTGTCAATAGGCCTGTGTCCCTTTAGTTTCCCCTCATACCATAAACCTACCCCCATTGTCTGTTGATCTCCATAGCTCCACACTCTCTTTAACTCCCTGTGGGGGCCCGGTGACTCTCGGCTGCAGCTGAACTTCCGAGCCACGCAGCCTTTGAATGGGCGGATGATTGAGGCCTCCTTCCCTGTTGGAGTGGACAGCAGCCCTAGGGCCTTTGAGACAGGTGCAGATTGGTCTGGGGGCCCACGTTGCCATGTCCCACCAGTCAGGGGTCCCTCATCATCTGATGTGTCTTCTTCCTTTGCCTGTCTTACGAGGTCACGGTCTCCAGCTCTAATGTCTCCTTTTTCTCTTCAGTCGACCTGAAGTCCTGCCTTGGTGCTGGTGAGTCTAGGGTCCCCCCATTTGTTCCTGATGCTGGGGGAATACCCCAAGACTAGTTAGAACCACATCAGCTCCCTCCAGGATCCCTCTACCTTTCTGCAGACCTCCAATCTTAATATGACCCAGATTAAGGTGTTGGGTTCCCCCAGTAGCCCCAGAACAAGGGAGGGTCAGGATGGAGCTCTAAAAATCTTCTAGCATCTACCTTCTCAACCAACCTCTGTTACTCAAGTTTAGGACAAAAAAAGTGGTGCCCTTCTTCCTGTATCTCCTCCCCTTGTCATTTGTTGACCTTTTCTAGAGACTGAGGCACTCGGGGGAGGACATACTGAAGTAGGCTTTGGGAGAGCCCCTTGGACTCTCTTTATCCCAAGGTCATCCTTACCTCTTTCCCTCCCAAGGTGACATCCTGGCTGTGGTTTTTGGACTTCTCTTTGCCATTACCAGTATCGCCTTCCTAGTGCACATGAGAAGACAGCAAAGGTATTATACGGACCCACTCCCTCAAGTACACCCATCCCCTATCAACCTGCCAGGGTACTGCACAGTCACTGGGCAGATTGTAGAGTCCAGAGTAGTCCATGGAAGAAAATCTTGCAACCAGCTGTAAAGCTTAACAGCCAAGAAAAGTTGATTGAGCAGGCCTACTCTGTAACACATGGGGTCGCTGTGAGATGGAACTGACTTAATGGGATTGGTTCTTTTTTGTTTATGTAGACATATCAACACAGTCAAAGGGAATGTTAGCTACCACCCAGCAGAGGTCACTGAAACGGGAGCCTAGAGACCTGGAACATGGAGAATGTACAGAAGCCGGCTAGAAGAACCTGAGGGGGAGCTAGAAACTGTGTCCTGGCCTGCCTTGGCTATACTATTTCCTTTATAACCTCCAAAGACTTTTTAAGATAAATTTCTAATAAAATGTGTGGAAGGCACCTTTGTTCCTCAAATAAGGATGGTGTATTAATTTCCTATGGCTGCTTTAACAAATTACCACAAAATTAGTGTCTTAAAACAAGACAGATTTATTCTCTTGTCATTCTGGAGGTCAGAAGCCTAGAATGAGGTCTAAAGTCAAGTGTTGGCAGGGCTGGTTCCTTTGGGATGTCTGAGGAAAGAATCAGTTTCCTTGCCTTTTTCATCTTCTAATGATCACTTTTATTTCTTAGCTCATGGCCCCTTCCTTGCAACATTTCAAGCTCTTGCTTCCCTTGCCATATCTTCTGATTATCTTTGACCTTCCTGCCTCGCTCTTTTAAGGGCCCTTCTGATTACATTGGGTTTACCTGGATAATTTAGAATAGTCTCCCCATCTCAGAATCTTAATCACATTTGCAAAGTCCCTTTTGCCATGTAAGGTAAATGTCACAGATTTAAGGGATTAAGATGTGTGGACATCTTTAGAGGAAGAGGACATACTTATTTTTCTGCTGACCACAGATGGTGTCAGGAAGCAGATAGAAAGAACTGATATTGTCAGGAAGATCTTGTGTGTGGTGGTGGGGGTGTGGAGGGGTAGTAGGAAGGCTGCATCCTTTAGGCTTATAATCACACGGAGGCTACTGGGCTTTTCACCTTGCCCACAGTGAATGTGTAGCTTCTTGCAGTTTTGCTTTCAAAATGAACTGCCTGGTACAGCTACCTCCTGGAATAGTGTGGAACCATAGAAGGCAGCCCCTTCGCCTATAGGGGTAGAGCCCACGATACTCCCCAGCCCTGCTGGGTTGCTCTGCATTCCATAACCGTCTACAACTTCTCAACGAGCCTAGCACTTCACCCCATGGCCCCCATTGGAAGGATGTCTTATCCCAGAGTATGGGCTTGGGTCCTTTTTATTTAGGGTCCCCTGAGGCATCCATCCTCTCAAGCACTTTGGAAAGCTACATGCCACCATTACCACCAATACCAAAGAAAGGCTTACAGGGCCCTGTAATGCTGGTAACATCAGTTTTATTGTGTTGGACGTGGCAATTCTAGCCTGCTTTGGGCAGGGCCGGATTTCACAGGTTGTTGAGTTCCAGCAGGGTCTGGTCCAGGGTTTGGTGAATTTCCACGTTCTCCTCCTTGGCACTGGCCAAGGTCTCTGTGAAGGGAAGCTGCATGTGAGGAAGGGAAGGGAGGCAGGAAGAGGGGGAATGGGGAAGAAACATAAGGGAAGACATGGATGGGAGGTGACAAACAGACATGGAGACAGCGGAAGACACAGGATTCAGGGATCTGAGGGTCTTATGGCAGGTCCTGACCAGGACAATGGGAGCAGACTAGACCTGAATGCCTTAAGAGCGGGGAGAGGCAGGGGTCATAGAGGTGGGGTGGGAAGGCCTGAGTTGTATGTTGATTTGGTCTCCTATAGAAAGTTTAAGAAAGTTGGAAACAGAAGGAAACACAAAGACTGAGCCAGACAGACTGACTTGAGGTAGAAGACAGACCTGAAACTGCAGTCAAAGCCCCACATTGCCGGCATGGAGTTTTCCCAAACTTCATCCCAGACCTTTCACAACCTCTTTTTTTTTTTTTTTTGTCTTTCACAACCTTTTGCCCCTCCTCACATTTCCCTTCCTGTCTCCATTAGATTCTCGAACCCAAGCTAGGTGCTCCAAGAGGCTAGGAGTGACAAGCCTGAGGTCTGCGGTGGGATATGTCTCTCACAGGCATCAGTGGGGGTCACAGTGCTTGATGGGGGTCACACATGCCACATGCAACAGTCAAAAGAGTCAGAGAGGGTAGTGCCCTGTGAGAAGAGGGTTTCCGTGTGAGCCATAGTGCTTGTCCGTGGACTCAGTGGTGGGGGCATCTGTAAGAGTCAGGGGTCTCAGGAGTTACCCAGTGCTCTGTGGGTGGGGGGGAGGAGGAAGGGGAGGGTGAAAGTGCTCTGGAGGACAGGAAAACAGCCTGGAGACCAAGTTATGAGTTTATTAAGCAGCAGAGAGAGATGGATACTCAGAGGTGTGGGTGAGCAGATAGAGAGGAGGATGAAGCAAGTGCCAGGGGTGGGGCTGGGGGTGAAGGGCGCTCTTCCTAGGCTGCTCCTGGCTTGACTGTGCAATGTTGCCAACTTCTGCTCCTCCTGCCTGCCCCCTCCCCAGAGAGAGAATGGAAAGGAGAGGAGAGAGGTCCGCTGAGAGGCAGGCCATAATTGTGAGGGTCTCAGAGAGAGGTGATGTCGTTGAGGGCGTTGTCCAGCTCCTCGCTGATGGCCTTGTACTTCATCTTCTGTGCATAGACTTCGTCTGAGGGTGGGGAGGTCCAGAGGGAGAGGACCAGGTGGGAGTGTAGGGAGAGGGGGTGGAGGGAAAGAGGGAAGGAAGGAGAGAGGATAAGGGAAAGAGAAAATGAAATCAGAGACAGATGGAGAAAGACAGAGTGAGAGAGGCCAGAGAACAGGCTGAGCAGCTGTAAGGGCTCCCTCTACTCCACTCTGTCCTCTTTTGTCCTTCTCTGTACCCTAAATTAGGTGTCCTCTAGGAGCTCCAGGGACCTGAGGGCACAGTGCTCTGGACAAGCAGGAATGCTTCCTTTAGGGGGAGAGTAAAGGGTGCTTCTGAGCCAGAACGTTCTAAAGTTCTAAAGTTGGAGGTAGAATTGTGGTTTGCCTGAGAAGGCTAGAAGCAAGGGAAGTCAGACTTCTGAAAGCTAAACAGTTTTTGTAGTATAAAATGAAAAGGTATTTTAGGTATAAAATTGCTGATAATAGTGAGAAAGAGCCACAAATTATTATTTGAATATTTCTTGTCTCCAAATCAAACTTAAAATATTATTTTCCATTAATATTGTCATGCAAGCCTAGATGTTCAATCAAATAGCTCTGTTCAAAATAGAAGTCTCTGTGATACAGTTCTATGGTGCTGTTCTTGGAGATGAAACTGTCTAATCAGTGCTACCCAAAGTGTGGTCTGTGGACCAGCAGCCATCAGCATTACTAGGGAGCTTGTGAGAAATACAGATTCTTCAGCCCAAGGTTAATAATCACTTTGGGGTAAGGCCCAGGAATCTGCATTTTAAATACTTTCCTGGTCATTCCTAGACATGCTGATCTCAGAGAAGTACTGGAGTGGATGGGCTGTAGCCAACCATCAGTACTTGAATAGTAGATGTAGCCCACCCAAGTCTGTGGAGTTTGTGGAGTTATAGGCGGTCCAATCTTAGTTTAGTGGTGGGAAATGCAATGGGATGGAAAAAAGGTTCAGACGCAAGGGGGTGTATCTTTTTACCTTCTAGGTCATCGATGGTTTTCTCCAACTTTGCCACAGATCTTTCAGCAAACTCTGCTCGAGTCTCAGCCTGAGAGTAAAGGAAGGAAGGAGGGAATATGGCAAGAAACTTGACTTCCAGAGACCATCACTGAAGTCAACTTAGTCTCCACCTCTATTCCCAAATTCCTGCCATAAGCAGGCTCTGGTAGGAATTAGGATGGCTTAAGAAGGGGCTAAAAGGAACCCGGGTGGCATAGTGGGTTACTTGTTGGGCTGCTAACTGCAAGGTTAGCAGTTCAAAATCTACTAGCTACTTCACCGAAGGATGAGGCTTTCTGCTCTCATAAAGACTGACAGCCTGGGAAACCCCATATAGGGTCATTATGAGTTGGAATCGACTCGATGGCACTTAATAAGGAGGGACGAAGGGAGCTTTGGTGGCTCTGTAGGATAAGCACTGGACTGCTAACTGCAAAGTGGGCAGTTTAAGTCCCACTAGCTGTTTCTTGGGAGAAAGATGAGGCTCTCTGCTCCCATAAAGATTTAGAGCCTGGGAAATCCCATATGGAGTTGCTATGAGTCGGAATGGACTCGAGGGCAGTGGGCTTTAAGGAGGGACTGGGGACTGGAAGATAACTCTTACCTCCTTCAGCTTCTCCTCCAGCAGTCTGATTTCCTCTTCATATTTATCCTCTTTGGTGGAATACTTTTAGGGACATACACACTCCATCAGTATATCTCCTCTACGAGTCCTCCCTTTTTCCACTGAGCCACACAGGCTGCTCATCATCTTCCTCCATGAACACCCAGCTCCTCCCTGCCTGGCTCCATCGCCTCCCCTGCAGGATCCCCATCTTCACTGCCCCTCAACCTCCTCTACCTTGTCTGCTTGGGCCTCCAGGGATTTCAAGTTGTTGGTAACAATTTTCAGCTCCTCCTCTAGGTCCCCACATTTACTGCAGGGGGTGTGGCGGGGTGGGGTGTGGGGGCACAGGGAGGCAAGCCAGTGGAGATGGCATAGTGTGGGAGGGGGAGGAGAGAGAGAAGAGCAGAGTTGTGAGAGTGACAGCAGGCAGAGTTTGGAAGTCCCAGGCCCATCCTGATGCCCAGAGGAGAAAGAGCGCAGCTGAGAAGGAGGAGAGGCAGCTGAGCTGAGAGAGGGCGCCATTGCCCAGAGAGGTCACTACCTCCTCCTCTGAGGCCATCAGGGACTTGAGGGCCTGGTCCATGGTTCGAAGTTCTTCCTCCAGCTGCCTGGCTCGGCTAGGGGCAGCGGGCAGGGGTCAGAGAACAGGACCTGTCCCTCTGGCCCCAAACCTGGGAAACTGTCTCCCCTCTGCTCAGAGTGCTGGCTCTGCAGCCTCTGGCTCAGCCGGTTCACTTGCCATGTAGCTACTCTTACCTCTCAGCAACCTCAGCCCTCTCTTCTGAGCGTTCCAGCTCTCCTTCCAGGATCACCAGCTTCCTGGCCACCTGGGGGGTGGGGTGGAGGAACAGATCAGTGGGGAGCTACTGGGAAGGCCTGGGACTTGGGGATGAGAGGGAAGTGAGGCCGGGCATCATCACCTCCTCATATTTGCGGTCTGAATCC